TCACGGGCCCAGCCCTGGGGTTTCTTTCAACCCATCATATACTAATGGAACAACCCTAGGGGTTTATTTCAACCCAATCATGCAATAATGGGCCCAACCTGTGGTTTATTTCAACCCAATCATACAAACATACAAGAGTCACAGAGACAACTAACATCCTACATACATAATCCTATGGGCCGACATTGGTGCCTTCGGCCCACAAATACAGTGAGAAGACTCACCTCAAACTAAAGATAACCGAATCACACGTGCACTTGCTGCTACAAGGGTTCCTCACACTGAATACATCCAAAACCCACCCTAATTAATAATTAGGGTAATAACCCATAATCAAGGTCCAAATCAAGGCCCAAAAATAGCCTAAGTGAACTTGTGGGAGTACGCCATGTGTAATCCTTCCTTACGCCCTGCGTACTAAATGTGCATAGAAAAGGAATCGAGGCAAAACTCGTTACTCCCTGCTTAACCCTATGTTGTCCAAAACCACTTTAAAAGCTCTTAATACCTAAAGACTAAATGTCCAACTCACAGATCTTAATCTTGGGAAGGTATTAACTGATAAAGTCAAAAACTTTAAGCTTTTGTGTGGCTTAATAGATTCCAAAACCAAACCCTAAGTTTATAACATTCTTTAATAACCTCAAACTCTTACATGAGTGAGAAATAGCAACAAAGACTTCATTTTTATGACACAAGATCCTCAAAAACAACATAAAATGACAAACATGAGCTCTGGAGTTGCTTTTACTCATAAGAACCAAACCATGGGATTAAAAGTCATGCAAAACTAAAGCCTAGCCTAGATCTAAACCATAGAGCCATAAAGGTGAGAGCTTTATACCTCCAGAAGTTGGAAAAAGAAATGGAAGTTGTGGATCTTCAAGCTCCAAGCCCACCAATCCTTAATGATAAACTTCTTATTCATTCACAATGCACCAAGAACACTCTAAAGGTCCAAAACAAGCTCTCAAGGGTTAGGATTTTGAAATGACAGAATGAGGGAGTGGAGGCTGAAGGTAAGGGAGGTATCAAGGACTTAAGGTCCTTTAAATAGGGTCCAAACCCTAAAAATTAGGGTTTGGGATCTGCGTAAGTATGCCTTGTGTACTTCTTATGTATGCCATGCGTACTCAAAGGAGTCCTCGACATCTTTTAATGAACTATGCCCAACGTACCCATAGGGTACGCCCCGCGTAAGGACCAAAAGAGTAATTATTTTAACTTTAAGCCATAATTGAAAATACCTGGGAACACGGGTGTTACATTATAGTTGTAGGTTAAATATTTTCGATACTTCAGATGACCGTAGGAAGATGAAGACGTGACTTTACACATATATCAACAACTTTCATATGTGAGATTCCACATTGTTTTATGATATACTATGATTTTGGGTTTATGATTTGTGAAACATTGGTTTTTATTTATGTTTGATTTTAATGGAAATGGTTTCTATCTTATTTAAAAATAGAAAAATTTATCATAAAAATTGGGACGCTACAACTTCCGTTGGAGTGTTCTCAAAAAAACTTTTTCCTCTTCTCCTATCATACCCTCTTCCACTACTACATCAGTTCCCACCAACAACGGATTGATTCACGATATTGTATTGAATAAGTTGTGTTTCATCTGGTGGATAGTTATCCATACAGATGTACATGAGTTTAAACCTACTATTAATCCTTTTTAAACGCTTCACATCACCCTCATTAGACATCTGTATAAATTACTTCAATGTAGGGTGTTGGGAAGATACATTGATACTAGGTTTGGACGACAAACCTATTTAATGCCAAAGTTTCTAAAAAAAATGGTCTAATGTATATCAATTCCCCATTTTGTAATCGCCATGAACCAACAACACAAACAACAATAAAATACTCATGTGAAATGTTTGAACTCATGCTATCTAAAAAGAGCGAAATGTTAACGTGGAAGGAATTTCTAGTTAAATTAAAAGAAAAAACATATGGAAATTTTTTCCCAGAAAACCAGACAGTTGGTTATGATAATATTTTTTTTACAAAACAATCTCTTAAGATAACATCCTCCGAATTGTATAGGCTTTCGCATTACGAATTCTGGTTTTCACAGTACAATCTCTCTCTGAGTTTTGTAGTCAACATGAGAAGACATTAGATCATTTTTCTAAAAAAAAATATATCATAGTTTACGTCATTTTTCGTAGTCAACAATCATATTTTCGTAGTCAACGACGTCCTAAACGATGTTTTATTTTTTTCAAAAAAAAAAAGAAAAAGAAATCGTAGGCCAAACAAACTATCGCTGATGGTGGCTTGCAAAATTATGTTTATTTTGGTCATTTTTCATTTTCATAGCTATTTTATAATAGAATCTTAAAAAAAGCTATCATGGTCGTTTTCTTATTTATTATTATTATTTTTTAATTTTTTTAGTTTGTGTAATTTCAAAACAACCCATTTCTAGCCCAATTACCTAGGACTGGTCACTATTTTGGTTAAAACCAAATTATCCGATAAGACAATTTGGATTGAACTATTTGATTCGAATATTTGGATTTTTGGATTGATTTTAACTAAAATGAATTGTTATTTTTGGTTTTCGGATTGGTTTTGATTTATAAAATAAGAACCAGACAAAAAAAAAAAAAAACTAAATAACAACTTATTCTTTATTTTTAATATATTTCTTTAATCATTTATAATACCATAATATATACTTATTATCAAAAGTTTTTTGTGAATAAAATATTAAACTATAATCAATTTTTCTTAATAGTTGTTTATAAATTATGATTCATAACTAAAAAGTTTTTTTAGATATTTTTATAGAGTTGGCTAATATTTAAGTTATATATTATTTAAAATGTCTTACCTCTTAAAAATTGAATTGTAAAAACCAATCAAACCAAATTGTAATTTGGTTGGATCAGATCGAATTTGAATTTAGTTTGAACTATTCGGATTCATGTTTTGAAAACGAAATCTATTTGAATTTACTTGATCGGATCGGATCAAACCGATCTATCCAAACGAAAACCCCTACAATTACCTACCATATCATGTTAAGAAAAAAATAAATAGTTTAGTGCTGATTTATAAAATGTGATAACTAATTTCCAAATATTAACATATTTGAAGGATTATTACAATGTAACTATTACATTTACCTGTGTTTGGATAAGGTTATCCAGAAACTTTTAAGCACAAATGGAAAATTTTGTCCTCCACTCACCCAAATCCATGATATATACGTAGGCAAAAGCAATAATTGAGGCAGTGTAATATATAGCTGTTCAATCAGTGGTCTTCTTCTACGCCACTATAATTTTTGCAAAGTAGCACCAGCAGCAACATTGCAAGCATACGCACAGTCTCATAGAACAGAGCCAGGTACGAGTTTGTTAAAAAAGTTTCTCTATGAATACCAATCTATTACTTGAATTTGTTGTTTTCCGTTTCAAATATATCGATCCTTGACTAGATATCTGGAATCAAGTTTAGTTTGCTACTCGTTGTGGTCCTTGTGGATTGTGTGTATGTTCTACAGATAAAATCAACTCAAATGTTAAATAAGCTGAAAACGCCTATTCATTTTCTCTGGTTTGATTATTGAACAGTGTTATGAAGGAGTCATTTTCTTACGATATATGCTTCATACTAGAGATCAGTATTAGCCTATTAGCCGTCATAAATCCCCCGTAATTTTACGAGTGTAGTGGGACTCTGTTTCCAAGTAGGTACAGGAATGTCTCAGATATGAAAGATTTTCAACTTAAATTCAATTGTTCAATCACTGCAAAGAAAACAAAATGAAAAAGTATAAACAGAGAATTTTGTGCATAATGTATTGCTTTTTGCTGTCTTATTCATCTAAGAAGAATACATTCTTGTGTGTTTATATACAAACTGAAACCTATGAGTTACCTAATCTCACTCCAGACTTAGATATATAAAAATAAAGGCAAGGCCATAATATATGCACCACAAGATGAGATAGTCCCATATCATTTTGGGTAATGCAAATTTTTCTCAGACACTGTTTAGCACAGTGACACACTTCACAAATTGTAGTTAACATAGTATCTCTATTATTAAGACTTACTTCATGAGGGATTGCTTAGAGGGTTTATGCCAAAGATCAAGAGAATTTGTTATATCCCCTTCTCTTTCACCTGCACCAGTCACCTTCATCGAATTGCGATCTTATATAGCATACAAGTAAGGAGTTAAATGAACAAAACAGTTGCAATTGCCTAATAATATTGTTGCACAGATATCAAATTAGAGTTAAACCCGGGAACATAGAGGATGTATTGTTTTCAAGGAAATACTTATATATATGTGGGCCAAACAGATTGGGCTTTTCCTTATGGGCTAAAATCCTAAAACCCAACAAGCTCTTCACTGCCCGAATACCATGAAAAGAATATAAACAGAGAATCTTGCCTATATTGCTTCAATGTCCCATTCACCTCCAAGGAATACATCCATGTGTGTTGATATACAAATTGAGGCCTTTTTGGATTACCTACTCTCATTCAAGAATAATTAGATGATAAAAAGAAGGCAAGAGTATAATATCTACAAAGGTTAGGCCGTGACCAATCTGGTCAACACAAAGGCCGGTAAAGTTGCAAGTGAAAGATACATGACAGAGTAATTGAGATCACTAGACTTGTCTGAATTTACATAAACGTTATTTTTCCCACAACCTTTTTCTTTTCTACACATATATTCATAACACACCACACACACTCTTTTCTAACCAAACGTGTTATGTGCGCTCTTCCTCTTCTCATACAAATGCATCTAAGTATTGAAGGAAATTTTTTGAATGCTAATAATTATCAATGGATTATAATGATATTTGACAAAAAAAAAAAGGATAGCTCTGCAAATTAATAATGAAAATATGAATAAATATATACTAATTAACAACTTTTAACACTTTCATCCCTTCTGTTGATTTGTCACACAGTGTGCAGGTCACATTAAAAGCTAGAATATTGGAAGATGGAGTTTGCATCTGCAATCATTGGTCCTATAGTTGAATCATTAATCGTTCCTGTGAAGAAACAGTTGGGATATCTCTTTTCCTCCACAAAACATGTTAGGAACATGAATACTAAAATGAAGCAGCTGGATGGTACAAGCAGTGATGTCAAAAAGCACATGGACGCAAACAATAGAAGTTATCTGGAGATACCTACTCGTGTACCAGGTTGGTTGGAAGAGGTTGAAAAGATTAAAAAAGATGCTCAAAGCATTTCAAGCACCGGGAATGGATGTTTCAACATGAAAATGAGGTATCGAGCAGGTAGGAATGCATTTAAGATTAAGGAGGAGATGGAAAGTCTTATGAATGAAAATAGTAAGATAATTTGGACAGATGCTCCAAAACCTCTTGGGAAAGTGATCTCGAAAATCGCATCCAGTTCTGCACCTTCGGATGGTGACGCCCAAAATCACTTCAAATCAAGAGAGAAGACTTTCAAGGATACGCTTGGGTTCCTTCAACAAGATCACAAGAGCCAAATGATAGCCATATGCGGAATGGGTGGTGTGGGGAAAACCACGATGATGGAACAACTGAAAAAGACTGCAGGAGATACAAAAATGTTTGATTATGTTCTGAAGGTGGTTAGTGGGCAACAGATCAACATGTTTTCTATTCAGCAAGCTTTGGCTGAATACATAAGTCTATCTATATCTGAAATGAATCCAACAACAAGGGCAGAACGTCTTCGTATATCATTTACGAACCTGGCAGAAAGAAAACAAAAGGTTTTGGTGATATTAGATGATGTATGGGAGATGATTAAACTTAATGATATTGGACTTAATCCTTTGCCTAAAGGCTTCAAGTTGTTGCTGACATCACGGTATGAAAATATTTGCAAACAAATTGCAGCAGGTTATTCAGATTTGAAAATAGTTAGAGTGGAAGTGATGGAGGAGCCCGAAGCACAAAACTTCTTTTGGCAAATTACAGGTGCTTTAAAACAACATGATAAGGAGCTCAATAAAATAGGAACAAAGATCGTGAGAAGATGTGGGTTTTTGCCCCTTGCTATTAATCTCATTGCCATTCGTCTTAAGTTTGAAGAAAAGGTTGCATGGAGAGATACACTTCGCCATTTGGAGAATAAAAATCTTGATTACGTGCAAGAAAGTATTAAGATAAGCTATGACTATATAAAAGAAGAGGAGGAAAAAGTGATTTTTCTTCTATGTGGCTTGTTTCCCGATGACTTTAATATTCCAATCGAGGAACTCACAAGATATGCATGGGGCCTACGGTTGTTGAATGGAGTTTCTAGTTTGGGAGAGGCTAGGGATGGGACAGAGACGCATGTGCACAGTCTCAAAAGTGCAAATTTGTTGATGGATAGCGATTCCATTGGGTGTGTCAAAATGCATGATCTTGTGCTCGATTTTGTTTTAGGTAGAGTTTCTAAGGGTGACAATCCATGGATAATCAACCATGGTGATGTTTCAAAGTGGAGTAGGGCTGGAATGAGTGAGTCTTGTAACAGAATTTCTATTACTTGCAGGGGTATGTTTGAGTTTCCTAGAGACTTTAAATACCCAAACCTTGCACTTTTGAGACTTATGCATGGAGATAAGTCGCTTAAGTTTCCTGAAGATTTTTATCAAAGAATGGAAAATCTTGAAGTTATAGCGTATGAAAATATGCAGTATCCGTTGCTCCCCAGATCACTTCAGTGCTCCACCAGGCTTCGGACACTCATTTTCCATAAATGCTTATTGATGTTTGATTGCTCTGTTATTGGTGAACTCTTGAATTTGGAAGTGCTCAGTTTTGCACATTGTGGGATCAGAAAGTTACCATCCACAATCGGAAATTTGAAGAAGCTAAAGGTACTGGATTTGACGGGTTGTATCAACCTTTGGATTGATGATGGTGTCTTGAAAAGTTTGGTCAAGCTTGAAGAGCTTTATATGAGAGTAGATGGCAAAAAGGCAATTAGGTTTACACACAGCAATCATGCTGAATTAGCAGAACTGTCAGAGCACCTTTCTGCATTAGAAGTTGAGTTCTTTGATAACAGTGGTAAGCCCGTGAATGTGTTGTTTACGAAACTTGAAAGGTTCAGGATCTCCATGGGACGTAGTTCAGGAGACAATCCTGGATTAAAGATGCACTCATTTGAAAACACGTTGAAGTTGATCACGAACAAAGATGTGTTAGGATCGAGACACTTAACACACGACTCTAAACACACACAACTCACGAAAAACAAGAACACGAGGGATTTAAGGTGGTTCGGTCTATTTCTGACCTACGTTCACACGAGGGTAACTTGGAGTTTATATTTCTTGGTGCTAATCTGCACTCTTTCTTTGTTACACTAGATACAAGTGTTACAAATACAGAATAATCTCTTATATAGAGATGGAAATCAGAAGTAGTCAAAAAACACAACTGGGTCTTCATTCAACAATTGTGGCTTCACAACTTCACATTGTTCCTGCCATTTTTGACCAGCTTTTCTGTGGATTCACACTCAACATTTCTGTGGATTCACACTCAACATTTCTGTGGATTCATACTCAACAATCTCCCACTTGAAGCCACGAAACAATCTTCACTTGTGCTTCAACTGTGCATCTGTATTTTTGTAAAACACTTTTGATCTTGACTCCATCCTAGTTACCCGGCCTTCTCTTCAATTATCCTGAAGGCCAGTTGAAGCTATGCAAAGCTTCAACTTTTCTAAGGTGACAACCTTAGTCAACATATCAGCTGGATTTTCAGTTCCTTTGATCTTATTCAACTTCAGAGTGCCATCATTAATTCTTTCTCTGATGAAGTGATATCTCAGCTGTATGTGCTTTGTCTTCGAATGGAAGACGGGATTCTTTGCAAGATGAATTGCACTTTGATTGTCACAAAATAATGCACAATCATCTTGTTCTTTGCCAAGTTCGTTGAGAAAATTCTTCAACCATATAAGCTCTTTGCTTGCTTCAGCAACTGCCATATACTCTGCTTCTGTGGTTGAAAGGGCAACACTTTTCTGTAGTTTGGACATCCAACTTACTGCAGTGCCGCCCACTGTAAAGACATACCCTGTGGTGCTTTTGTATGAATCTTTACAACCACCAAGATCTGCATCTGCATAACCATTCAGAACTACGTCTTTTCCCTTAAAATTTAATGCCGTCTTTGAAGTCCCTTTCAAGTATCTCAACAACCATTTAACTGCTTCCCAATGTTCTCTTCCCGGATTGGACATGAATCTACTAACAACTCCCACTGCATGAGCTATATCTGGTCTCGTGCATACCATTGCATACATGAGGCTACCAACTGCGGATGCATAAGGAACTTTAGCCATTTCTTTCTTGTCTTCATCTGATCTGGGTGACTGAGCTTTAGAAAGCTTAAAGTGACTTCCCAAAGGTGTGCTTCTGATCTTGGCATCTTTAAGGCTGAATTTCTCTAATACTTTCTCAAGGTACTTTTCTTGAGATAGTGTTAAAGAACCATCTTTGTTTCTGAATATACTCATCCCGAGTATTTGCTTTGCAGCTCCCAAGTCTTTCATTTCGAACTCTTCAGACATCTGTTTCTTCAACTTCTTGATCTCTGACATGTCTGAACCGGCAATCAACATATCATCTACATAGAGTAGTAGAATGATATAAGAACCCTTAAACTTCTTGATGTAACAACAATGATCATTGTCACATCTCTTTTAACCAACTTTTCTCATGAAGTTATCGAACTTCAAATACCATTGTCTGGGTGCTTGTTTCAGACCATACAAACTCTTCTTCAATTTACACACCAAGTTTCCTTTGCCTTTATCCTGAAAACCCTCTGGTTGTGTCATGTAAATGTCTTCATCTAGGTCACCGTGTAGAAAAGCTGTCTTGACATCTAGTTGCTCTAGATGCAAACTTTCTGCTGCTACAATACTAAGAACAAGTCTGATAGTGGTCATCTTCACTACTGGAGAGAATATTTCATTGAAATCAGTTCCTTCTTTCTGTTGAAAGCCCTTGACTACTAATCTTGCTTTGTACCGTTTGGTACCATCATGTTCATCCGTGACCCTGAAAACCCATTTATTCTGAAGAGCCTTCTTCCCAACTGGAAGCTTTGTTAAGTGCCATGTGTTGTTCTTCTCAAGCGACTTCATTTCATCTTTCATTGCTAGCTCCCACTGCAATGAATCTTTCAACCCTATAGCTTCAGAGTAACACTGGGGTTCACCGTTTTCTGTCAAAAGAATGTAGTTGACAGATGGTGAGTATTTGTTTGGTGGTCTTGTGACTCTGGAAGATCTTCTTAGTTGAACTTGAGGTGTGACTGGGGACTCTGGAGTTGGAGGACTAGTTTCTTCATCTTCAGAATCATTACTGGAATTATCCCCTGAGCTCCCACTGTCAGTTGAATCATCCCCAGATTCAGGGATTTCGACTGGAGTTTCTTTATTCTTTTTAACACCTTCAAACTCAACATACTCCTTCTGATCTTCTGGACTTTTGTTGTTTCTGTCTTTGTATAACTCGGCTTCGTTAAAGGTGACATTCTTGCTTTGGATTATCTTTCTGCTCTCACTATCCCAAAGCCTGTAACCCATTTCATCCGACCCATAACCAATGAATGTACACTTCTTGGTCTTTGAATTAAGTTTATCCCTGTCACCATCTTTTAACAAACTGTAAGCAGTACAACCAAAGACTTTCAGGTGTTTGAGACTTACTTCCTTCCCTTGCCACATTTCTTCTGGTAATTTAAAATCCAAGGGAACACACGGTGAACGGTTGATCAAGTAGGCTGCAGTATTAACTGCATCAGCCCAAAATGTCTTAGGTAAACCAGAATTCAACCTCATGCTTCTAGCCCTTTCATTCAGAGTTCTATTCATTCTTTCAGCTACACCATTCTGCTGAGGGGTTCCTAGGACCGTCTTGATCATCTTTATCCCTTGCTTGGCACAATAGTCAACAAACTCCTTGCTTATGTATTCACCACCATTATCCGACTTCAGGCATTTTACCTTCAAATCAGTTTCATTTTCAACAGCAGATTTCCATATCTTAAAAGTATCAAATACATCAGATTTATTTTTAAGAAAATAGACCCATACCTTGCGTGTTGAATCATCGATAAAGGTTACATAGTAGTTTTTGCCTCCTAGAGATGAAACTGGTGTTGGTCCAAATACATCCGAGTGAACAAGCTCCAACTTCTGAGCTTTCGGTGTCTTCCCCGTTTTTACAAAAGTAACCCGCTTTTGTTTCCCGAGAACACAAGATTCACAAAATTCAGTTTCGACTTTCTTCAAATCTGGAAACTTTCCTTTCTGAGCCAACATCTTCAATCCCTTATTGCTCATGTGTCCGAGTCGTTGGTGCCATAAATTAGATGGACTCGGATTGGTGGTTACTGCATGAACACCATCACCAGGTATCTCTACCATGTATAGAGTGCCTTTCTTCTTTCCTTTGGCAATCACCAAGTTGCCTTTGATCACTTTCCATTGTCCACCCCCAAAGTGAACATTAAACCCTTCATCATCCAATTTTCCAACTGAAATCAACTTTCTCCTTAAGTTTGGGATAACCCTGACATCTTTCAATGTCCAGTTGGTTCCCATGGAGGTCTTCAAATCTACGTCCCCAATACCCGTAACATCAAGCACTTGATCATCGGCCAAACGAACTTTGCCAAGATCACCTGTTTGTAGGTTCTTGACCATATCTGGGCATGAGACAGCATGGAAAGAAGCACCCGAATCCATAATCCAGGATTCCACTGAATTCTCAACACAGCATATGAGAAAATCTCCCGATTCTTCAGAGGATACATTGTTTACTTCTTTCTTTTCAGCTGGTAGTTTTGGGCATTGGCTTCTAAAGTGACCATTTTCTTTGCAATTCCAACATTCAATATCTTTTCGGTTCTTGGACTGCCCCCTTTTTCTGGACTTTGATCTGCCTCGACTACGTCCTCTTTCGTTTCTTCTTCCTCTACTTTCTGTATGCAATAAAGAACTAGAACTAGAACTAGAAGTCTCACCATTGCTTCTCCGTCTGATATCTTCATTTACAATCAAGTCACGAATACTCTCGAAAGTGAGTTTAATAGTGCCGGATGCACTACTAACAGCTGTGACGGTGCCTGACCAACTATTGGGCAAAGATGATAAAAGGAGGAGCGCTTGTACTTCATCTTCAAACTTTATTGCAACTGAGGCTAAACGAGAGATAATCGAGTTAAACTCGTTTATGTGAGCGGTAACTGACATGCCTTCCTTCATTTTGGTGTTAACCAATTGTTTGATGAGGAACACTTTGTTGGAAGCGGACGGCTTCTCGTACATGTTGGACAAAGCCTTAAATACTCCATAAGTAGTTGTTTCATTAACAATGTTATACGCAACACTCTTTGCCAATGAAAGCCTAACTACACCAAAGGCTTGTCGATCCAACAACTTCCATTCTTCATCATACATGTCATCCGGTTGTTCGCCCAACATAGGCAAATGCAAACTTTTCTGATACAACATATCTTCAATTTGCATCTTCCAAAATCCATAATCGGTTCCATCAAACTTGTCAATTTTGATTTTACCATCTTCTGCCATTTTTGCAATTTTCTGAAAGAACAGGGACCTGTCTTGCAATTTTCTGAAACTTCAGGGACCAAATCTGAGTTTTTCAAATTCTGCTACAGTGACGCTACAGTGACGCTACAGTGTCGCTACAGTGTCGTCTTCTCCGGCAGGTCTCCGGCGTACAGTGTCGTCTTCTCCGGCAAGGCTCCGGCGCTACAGTGTCGTCTTCTCTGGCGAACTGGTTTTCCCGGTCACTATTCCGGCGAACCTTTGACCGGCGATTTGGAGGTCTTCCGGTGGTCGAAAAATTCAGAAAAAAATATTTTCGGAATCTTCGGAACGAGACCTTTCCAACGGTATACACCAAAATCGTTTTTGACGAAAACAAATTTCGACCAAAAAACTGAAAATCACCTTCTGGAGCTAAACCAACGCTCTGATACCACTTGTTAGGATCGAGACACTTAACACACGACTCTAAACACACACAACTCACGGAAAACAAGAACACGAGGGATTTAAGGTGGTTCGGTCTATTTCTGACCTACGTCCACACGAGGGTAACTTGGAGTTTATATTTCTTGGTGCTAATCTGCACTCTTTCTTTGTTACACTAGATACAAGTGTTACAAATACAGAATAATCTCTTATATAGAGATGGAAATCAGAAGTAGTCAAAAAACACAACTGGGTCTTCATTCAACAATTGTGGCTTCACAACTTCACATTGTTCCTGCCATTTTTGACCAGCTTTTCTGTGGATTCACACTCAACATTTCTGTGGATTCACACTCAACATTTCTGTGGATTCATACTCAACAAGATGAGCTATTGGAATCTAGATTGAATGAGTTGTTTGTGAAAACAGAGGTGCTTTATCTAGAAGTGGATGGTATGAATGATTTTCATCAACAGTCGTTTAATAATCTAAGAGTCCTTGATGTTTTCAAGTGTGAAAACTTGAGGTACCTCTTCACAGTCCCTATTGCAAGTGATTTGATGAAGCTTGAGCACCTCACAGTTTCACGGTGCCCTGTTCTGGAAGTACTTGCACATAGTGAGAATGGTGGAGATGGAGTAATCAAGTTTCAGGGGCTAAAGTTTCTAAGATTGGATAGGCTACCAAAGTTGATAGGTCTTTGCAACACTGCTAATGTAATTGAGCTACCACAGCTGCTGGAGTTGTGACTTGAAGGCCTTCCTAATTTCAGTTGCATTTATCCTGAGAAAACATCTGCAACATCTTCTATGTCCAGTAATGTCTCTGCAATTCAACCTTTCTTCAACAAAAAGGTACATTCCTTAACCAAAATATATTTAATATAATTGCACAATATATTGATTGGATGGTGCTATTGATGGTCAACATGTCTTACCTATTGTGTAGGTGCTGATTCCTATGCTGGAGATATTGCAAGTTCAGAGGATGGATAAGCTGAAAGAGATATGGCCTTATCAATTTAGTAGTAGTGACGAAGTTAATGCCTGCATGTTGAGAAAGATTAGAGTGAGAAAATGTGATAATCTTGTGAATCTGTTTCCAACCAATCCCATGTCTTTGTTGGGTCGTCTGGAAGAGCTTGATGTTTCATTCTGTGGAAGCATTGAAGTGTTATTTAACATCGACATGAGTTGTGTTGGTGAAATTGAAGAATACAGTAGCAGCTTGAGAAAAATTAAAGTGTTTGATTTGGGGAAGCTAAGAGAGTTGTGGAGGATGAAAGGTGAAAATAGCTCTGATATCCTCATCCGTACCTTTCAAGCTGTTGAAAAGATAGAGATAAGATGGTGTAAGAGCTTTGTAAACGTATTCACACCTACCATCACAAATTCTGATGTGAGAACACTTATGAATGTGAGTATAGATGGTAGCAGATATCGGGAAGAAACCAGGAGAAACATTGAATTGGTTCAGAACAGCCAAGAGGTATGTGATGTCATTCATCTTTCAATTTCTATTTTGATGTTACAGCACTTATTTGTATGTGCCTCTATATATACCCTCACACTTATATGTGTACGTGTATCTACATATGTGTAAGTGTGTGTACATACATATACATAAATACATCACACTACAATAAATCAATCGATTATATACATTTTTTATGTATTCACACTTAAAATTGTGCCATAACAAATTATTTATAAAACTTTACACATCAAAATGCGGATAAACAATTTAATACTCCACATTTAAAAAACGGACAAATACTATATACTACCTTTATATTAGTTAGTACTTTTACATTTTTATTAGCAAGTTTTTCTTATTTTCTTATTTTTGTTATTTCACTATACTTAAGCATTTGTTTAATATTTTCTAACAATTGTAACTTCAAATATTACATATTTACACTGCATTATTAAGGGTGATTGAAAATTAATATTTTTATATTTTTCCATTAAATGCAAAGATTTTACATATTTATTCTAGTGATCAAATAAGTGATGACTCAAAATTATTGATTTATGGTAAAAAAAAGAGTATATTAAAATCTCGTCCCCTTTATCTTGGTCCTCCCTCCTAGTGACAATCTTGGCTCCACTCTGTGTCTTCTTCATTAGGTCATATATGAAGCCTTAAAGGACATCTCACTTCAATTGTTTGTAAATCTCACCTGAATTTGGATGTTCTTTCATCATCCCCCACTTGTCCTGCAACTTTTTCACTTAAATTTAAGATTTCACTCATCTGATACATAAAAAGTATAGTTTCTTTTGGAAACATGTTGTCTGGTTTTGGATTGTGACAATATGTTGTAAGCAGTTTTGTAAAAATTCCGACTAGGTCCATATTAATCCCTAGGCACTACCCAACCGATTAGATGACGCCTAGCAATTAATCCCTGCATAAAATGAGTGAATCAGTAGAAAAAGAGGAAATTTTAACACTTGAAGAAGTTCTACCTCAATAGATACTATTTGAGGAATGATTAGTGTTATATTAATCATATTAACCGATTTTATTATAATATAAATGGTAATTACGAACTTTATGATGATATTAGTCATATTTAATTTTTTAAAATTCAACGAATTAGTAATTAATGGTCCCCGATTAATCCCCGCCTAGCCGATTAATCCCTTAACCCCAGTCCATTGACGAGCAAACGTCTAGCGTTTTTTACAACCTTAGTGTAAGCATTGCCTTTTTTCTATTTTACTGGGTGTATATTTTTTGTTACACATCTTACATGATGATTTTGGATTTCAACTCACTGAATAATGTGTTACAGATGATAAGATATGGTTGTTGAATTTATGCTATACCGTGCATTTTCCATGCTTGATGATGATGAAAAATGCACCTGAGGTTGATTGCAATGGAGGAATATTGGACTCCTGATTGTGGTAGAGAAGTCGACCAAGGAAAAAGGGTTGAGTTAGGACCGCTTATAGAAGCAACAGATAGGGGAGCTAGGTGATAAGCTCTTTCATGATGATCTTATCACAAAACTATAGCTCTGTATTCAAAGAAGAATAAAATGGAATTGAACTGAAATGATTTTCATAGAAATAGGGATAATCTCACTTTCGAGAGGTGAGTGCTCTCCAAGTTTGCCTAAGCAATTACAAATTTCTGCATACCCAAACGGATACCACCTCTAACTATAAATACCGGAAAGAAAGGACAAGAAGCAGCCATGAAAAGAAAAAGAACATTCCTTTTCCACTAAAGATGTCTCCTAAATAACAACTGCATCAAAAAGAGCTCCTAAAGACCAAATTACCATTGGTCTGTCCCCTGCAGATCACTGGACTGGACCAGCCCCATTGGGCTGCCACCCATAGGCTTCTTCTTCTTACGAGTGTAAACTTGAAGGACTGGGGGCCTATCAACACCGGCGGCCCAAACATTAACCTTGTCCTCAAGGTTAAAACCGGGAAACTGCAAATTCACCTTGGAGTAATCTTCCCATGTCGCTTCCATTTCTGTTAGCCCTTCCCACTGAATTAAGACTTCTTTCTCTGCAGCCCCTCCATTCTTCTTGTATCGAACCCCTTGTAACTCTTCTGGTTGAGTCACCAGCTCTAAGTCCTCGTTGAGCTGAGGTGGAATTTCCCTAGCTTGTGTTGGAGCTCCTATAGTAGCATTGAGTTGTGATACATGAAACGTAGGATGAATATTAGTGGTGGGGGGTAATTCGAGCTTATAAGCAACTTTCCCAATTTTTTGCTGAATACGAAAAGGCCCGTAGTAACGGGATGACAATTTTTCCGATCTCCTACGAGCCAAGCTTTGTTGCTTGTACGGGCGTAGCTTCAAGTACACCCAGTCATCAACCTTATACTCCACATCCTTTCTTTTCCTGTTGGATTGGATTTGCATTCTCCGTTGGTCCTGGATGAGATTCATCCTGAGGTCATCAAGGATGATGTCACGATCCAGCAGTTGGTCGAGAGCATCCATTGGAGTCTGTTGACCTTCATATCTGATCAGGGATGGAGGGTCTCGCCCATAGAGGGATTTGAAAGATGTAATACAGGTGGCTGAATGGTAGGAGCTGTTGTACCCATGACAACCATTTGGCCCATTGCTTTGGTCTTCCCGAGCAAAAGCAACGAAGATAGGTCTCGAGACAATAATTCACCACCTCAGATTGGCCATCCGATTGAGGGTGATAGGTCGTGTTGCGTTTCAAGTCTACCCCATGTAGCTTAAAGATCTCCCTCCAGAATTGGCTTAGGAATATTTTGTCCCTGTCGCTAATGATGGACAAGGGCATCCCATATAATTTTACCACCTCTGTCATGAATTTGCTTGCGACAGTGGCTGCCGAAAATGGGTGTTTCAGAGGTATGAAATGACTATACTTGCTAAGGCGATCCACTACGACCCATATGGTATCCCACCCTCCTGATTTGGGTAGCCCCTCCACAAAATCCATAGTTATTTCGTCCCAAACTTGCTCCAGGATTGGGATGGGTTGCAGCAAGCCAACATGGGATGAAGTGAGGGCTTTATGTTGCTGGCAATGGTGCACTTATGGACAAACTTAGATATAGACTCAAGCATACCAACCCAATATACTTCCGCTGCTGCCCGCTGGAAGGTCTTCTTGACTCCCGAGTGACCTCCGATAGGTGAGTCATGAAACGTCGAGATAATGTCCGGAATCAATGGGGAGGAGGCGGGAATCACCAACCGTCCCTTGTATAACATATTCCCAAAGAAAACTCCAAAGCCTTTGTGGGTTTGGGGGTTGGCTTCCAAGTCTTGTTTTACCTTTTGCACAAAGACATCCTGGTCTAACTCTTTTTTTTTTAATTCGTCCCAGCTTCCTCATAGAGTCATGCTCACGGAGTTGCAAACGATGGTGGTATCTCGCTGGGATAGGGCATCAGCTACTCGGTTACTAGCCCCGGTGCGGTATTGAACCTCGAAATTGAATCCCACCAGCTTGGTTACCCATCGTTGGTAATCATTTCCAACAGGTAGGGTCGCCATTTCGTGACTGCTTTTACAATGGGCATGAGTTTCTTTTTGTAGATGGATCTCTCGTGCCCTTACCCCTAATGTGAAGCTGTAGTAGGCCACCGGCCGGTCTTTTTGTGACAGTACCACCCCTAACTCTAACCCTGAGGCATCTGTCTCGACCACAAAAGTTTGTTGGAAATCGGGCATGGATAGGACCAGTAAGGTTGTCATAGCGGTTTTAAGGTTTTGAAAAGCTTGTTCTACTTCTTTCCCCCACCTAAACCGATCTTTCTTTGGTTGTTCTGTCAGGGGAATCGTAATTTGGGCGTAATCTCGGACGAATTTTCGATAATACCCTGTGAGACCAAGGAAGCCCCTTAATTGCTTTATGTTCCTGGGGGTAGGCCAATCCATCATGGCTTCATTTTTCGAGTTTTCTGCGGATACCCCTTTACTAGAAATAACATGGCCCAAATAGGAGAGCTTTGATTTTCCAAACTCACATTTCTTGAGATTCAAGAATAACCGATGTTCTTCCAGTTTTTCGAAGGTAGCTGTTAAATGTTGCTTATGTAATTCGTCATTGGGACTGTAAACTAGTATATCATCGAAGAATACTAGTATGAATTTTCGCAAGAATGGACGAAAGATATCATTCATCAAAGTCTGGAAGGTCGATGGGGCGTTACTAAGGCCAAAGGGCATTACCTTGAACTCGTAATGCCCGTCGTGCGTTCTAAAAGCGGTTTTGTGCACGTCGGCTGCA